ACCAAAATCGACTCTTTCACAAATCAATAGAGCGGAGAAACAGGAGACCTCTTTACATAAAGACAACGTCCTTCTGCAGCCTTCCTTTGCATGGCGTGTACAGTCTGTTGATGGAGACATGCATATATCAGGGGGATCAAGGTGGAANCCCCCAAAAAAATTAAGAGGAAGAAAAGAAGCGAAACATAAAAGGGGAACCAAAAAGAGAGGGAATTGGATGAAAACTAAAACTTTTCTTGATTTCAGTCTCTGCAATCTCTGGAGAGAATGAGTTTTTATGACAGCATCGGTTAAAGTACTTTGCTTTCATGTTCTTAGAATATGAAATCTTTTCTTTTTGAAAACCCTTCCTGAGAAAGTGGAGGGGCAGTTTCAATACTCAAATTCTGTTAGCTTTGGGTTTTTTGCTCGACAAAAGGTTAGTGAGACACAGTGGTATAGCCAGGCAATAGGGAAAACAAACGTTCCCACAGGGCCTAGTTGGCCCTTGCCTCGCTTGGCTACGCCACTAGTGAGAGACAGTATTTCAAGTTGATTTTGACTTCACTACCTTGGTCGGAGACTCCACGGAAGGCATGGCAAGTCTCACGTTCTTTCTCAAAAAGAGTCGCACCACAATAAGTGGCACGGTAAGCCCTGCACAAAATACGTTCAAGATAGCAATTATAACACCTTCTATAACGTAAAGGTTCTGTGCTTACCAATGTCATACACTGCTGAAAAAATGCACTCTACGATTAACAAAATAGCAGCTAGCACCAGACTGCACAAGGATTATGTCATTGTCTTATACGCTATATTGCACTAGGTTCAAGAGGCGCTGTGGCAATTTTGAAATGTATTTACATCAATTGTAATTAATTAATTAATTGTAATTAAAAAACGTAATCTGTTTGCCCAATTGTCAAAAGCAGGTGAAAAAATCGAGTACTTATCTTTTATTCCAAGAGGGGCTATCGTACACTCTTCAGTGTACCTCCGGGTTGACAAATAAATTACCCCAAATATCGAAATAATTTTGATAATCGAATTCAAATTTGATTGCATATTCTTTTTGAGATGCTGCTTTTGTTGTTATTGACAAAACAAGATTTCTGAGTGAACACATTTAAACTGTTTTCTATTTTCCTTGTTGATTACCACTGGCAATATAAGGCCGTCGTCGTTAGGTAGATGGTCCAGTTCTTGTTGGCATGTAGGGTGATAAAGGCAGAAACAGTCATTTTACAGTGGCCCGGGAACATGGATAGGGAAAGGGCCCACAAAACAGCAAGTCCATGAAGTGTTTATATACGAATAACTGGGAGGATTTTTGTCGATTGTATCAAAAGGCACTTACTTCATTCGTGAATCCGATAACAATAAAGCTTGTATAATGGCCCTTGCTATATATTTTCGGGTAATCATCAGATTCCAAAGCCCCTGCGGTCTAATTACACACGTAGTTGAATAAGTCCGGCCAAGCAAACGTTTGTTCCCTTATTAATGTACGATGGAGGTACGAATGTCTTCTAAATATTTATTCTAAGCAAACTATGAGATAATTTTAACAGGTGGAAAGGCTTGCGGTAGCACCATGCAAAAGAATATGTCTCTCTTGTGAGTACGTGTGGTTCTAAAAATATTTCCAAATAGGTCACTTGGGAGACATTTTGTGGTAAATTTTTCAACATTAAGGAGACATTGGTCATAAGGGAGACATTTCAATGTCTCCCTAATTCTCCAACCACCAAAAGGAGGAAAATTTCAATCATCCACATTTTGAGAGTTGATAGATAGGGTCTGAAAAGNCCCCAAAAAAATTAAGAGGAAGAAAAGAAGCGAAACATAAAAGGGGAACCAAAAAGAAAGGGAATTGGATGAAAACTAAAACTTTTCTTGATTTCAGTTTCTGCAATCTCTGGAGAGAATGAGTTTTTATGACAGCATCGGTTAAAGTACTTTGCTTTCACGTTCTTAGAATATGAAATCTTTTCTTTTTGAAAACCCTTCCTGAGAAAGTGGAGGGGCAGTTTCAATACTCAAATTCTGTTAGCTTTGGGTTTTTTGCTCGACAAAAGGTTAGTGAGACACAGTGGTATAGCCTGACAATAGGGAAAACAAACGTTCCCACAGGGCCTAGTTGGCCCTTGCCTCGCTTGGCTACGCCACTAGTGGGAGACAGTATTTCAAGTTGATTTTTACTTTACTACCTTGGTCGGAGACTCCACGGAAGGCATGGCAAGTCTCACGTACTTTCTCATACAGAATCGCACCACAATAAGTGGCACGGTAAGCCCTGCACAAAATACGTTCAAGATAGCCATTATAACACCTTCTATAACGTAAAGGTTCTGTGCTTACCAATGTCATACACTGCTGAAAAAATGCACTCTACGATTAACAAAATAGCAGCTAGCACCAGACTGCACAAGGATTATGTCATTGTCTTATACGCTATATTGCAGAGGCGCTGTGGCAATTTTGAATTGTATTTACATCAATTGTAATTAATTAATTAATTGTAATTAAAAAATGTAATCTGTTTGCCCAATTGTCAAAGGCAGGTAAAAAAATCGACTACTTATCTTTTATTCCAAGAGGGGCTATCGTACACTTTTCAGTGTACCTCCGGGTTGACAAATAAATTACCCCAAATATCGAAATAATTCTTTAATTAAATTCAAATTCTATTGCATATTCATTTTGAGATGTTGCTTTTGTTGTTATTGACAAAACAAGATTTCTGAGTGAACACATTTAAACTGTTTTCTATTTTCCTTGTTGATTACCACTGGCAATATAAGGCCGTCGTAGTTAGGTAGATGGTCCAGTTCTTGTTGGCATGTAGGGTGATAAAGGCAGAAACAGTCATTTTACAGTGGCCCGGGAACATGGATAGGGAAAGGGCCCACAAAACAGGAGTCCATGAAGTGTTTATATGCGAATAACTGGGAGGATTTTTGTCGATTGTATCAAAAGGCACTTACTTCATTTGTGAATCCGATAACAATAAAGCTTGTATAATGGCCCTTGCTATATATTTTCGGGTAATCATCAGATTCCAAAGCCCCTGCGGTCTAATCACACATGTAGTTGAATAAGTCCGGCCAAGCAAACGTTTGTTCCCTTATTTATGTACGACGGAGGTACGAATGTCTTCTAAATATTTATTCTAAGCAAACTATGAGATAATTTTAACAGGTGGAAAGGCTTGCGGTAGCACCATGCAAAAGAATATGTCTCTCTTATGAGTAAGTGTGGTTCTAAAAATATTTCCAAATAGGTCACTTGGGAGACATTTTGTGGTAAATTTTTCAACATTAAGCAGACATTGGTCATTAGGGAGACATTTCAATGTCTCCCTAATGCTCCAACTACCAAAAGGAGGAAAATTTCTATCGTCCACATTGTGAGAGATGATAGATAGGGTCTTAAAGGAAAACATGCAAAGTTCGGTTCAGATCGGATTAGGGAATATTGAAATATGGCATGGTAAAGTTTGAAATATTTTGTGCACGTTCCTATGGGAACCTTCTCCGAAGTGACCTATTTTTGGTAATAACAAGAACTGGCAGTATACTCAACGTTTCGGACTGCCCACGCAGTCCTTCACCACAAATAGCCTGAAATTCCACTGAGTTAACTTTACTTACAATCTCCCTCCATCTTTAGCATCTGCGTCCAGGTGGCCATTGATTTGTTGTACTATAAAGAAAGGAACAGAAAAAAATAATAATAAAGAAAAAACAGCTAAAAGTCACGAACAAATTGAATGACGGTTTTGCCCAATTTCATCCAAGTTATCATAAATTTGAATTTCTACTCAAGGAACACCCCCCCTTTTATGTAGCTAATCCAGATGGTGTAGAGCAAAGGGTCAATATGGACATAATAAAAACCTCATGTCACGCACACGCGTAATCGTTTACACTGTACGTGCTCTGAAGCCAATTTGTCTACTCCACAGGCTACATGTCGTACATGTGTACGAATGACACGCACTCACATACGTGTGTGTGAGTACACACACACACACGGGTGGCTTGTTCGCCGTGTGGATCCCGTGCGTGAGGCTTAATTATCCCTCCGGAAAAAAGCCCCTTGGACAATGCTACGTGCAGACTGAAAGCTCGCAACAATGTTCATTCTCTGTGGAGTGTAAACGATTACGCGTGAGTGACATGAGGTTTTACTACATGTATGTCTATATCGGCCCTTTGCTCTACACCATCTATGTAAGATATAGATGTTATAGATGAAAATTGACAGCATTTGACAAGTCACGTGAAAGTGATTGTTATTTTAACCTATTCCTGTATTCTGTCATTAATTTTCAACTGGCCAAAAATTGCCTAACCTCATCACTGAAGTATAATTAACATTCTTCATGGATTTGTAAAACCCCCAAAACAGCTCAGCGATTTTACACCACAATTGCAAAACTCTCGTTTCGATTTGAATAAATGTAAACATAAAATGAATTAACTGACAAAAATTGCCCAACATCATCACTGAAGTATAATTATTTTTGAACAAATTCAAGTACATAGTAACTAAGCTAAAGTCTTTTTCAAGTAAGTGGCACATTTAGTTCTGCTGGTATTTTCACAGTAAACACAGTGTTGGTGTTGAACGTTCTTGACTTTGACTATGACATCGAAAATTCAATATTGGTCAGGGCCACAATTGCTTTTCGTTATAACGGTAATTGAAAGCCGGACATTAAATTAAAAGAGGGGAAATACCTCATTTGATTCGAGACTGTGCAAACTAATATTTCTGTTTTTATCGAGTAGAAATTACAATTTATGATAACTTGGATTCAATTGGACAAAACTATCATTCAAGTATCCTCTTGAAACGGGGCAAAGATTTTTCCTGGTACATTTATTTTGACCTAGATGACTTTGTGTTTGGCCCTAATTGCTTATAAAGACACGATCTTGCCTCTCTTGGGCATACTGAGGCTTTGCGTGTACTGCTGCTTCTAGTGCAACCTTTGTCGTTAATACCGTTAGTTCAACAGTTTGCAAGAGCCACCATCATCATGAATCGATTCATCGTTTTGCTGCTGCTTTGCGCAATTGCAGGTGAGTTGATCATTGTGTAGACTCCGTTGGTGTCGTTTCGTTTTTGTGGTTGCACGTCAGTTTATCGTATCTTAGTGTTCCGTGATGCAGTCTTCAGAATATTCACCTTGCTCTAATCTGCTCAATGGGTCCCTGAGGGAACAAACGACGATAATGTAAACCTTTACACCCATGTTCGCCTGCACCCACGACATAGCGCATGTAGTGCACCTCACAGGCTTTCCGACCCTCGTGTGTACTCCCCGTGAACAATGGAACCTAATAACATGTATATTCGACAATTAGAGAATGCATACGCAATCTGAGATGCCCATTCAGCAGCGAGCTGGTCACGTGACGAGACCTTCCTCACATTCCGTACAATCCCACTCGCTGTGTACAAATGGAGAGCAGTTAATGTTCATTTTTGTTAAGAATATGCACATATGTACATACAACAAGGGCAGCAGTAAACATTAGTGACATA